GGCTTTACTCTCTTGAGTTTGTTTTTATATGCTTACTCTTTTGAGTCTGAGGAAAGTGTTTTGAAAGCCCTTTGGAAATTTCACACTCCCATCACTTCAGATATTGCAGTCGAGAGACTGTCGATAAGAACTCGCAGTTTCCGGGCCTCAGCCTGGCTTGGTCGCCATTTTGCTTTCGTGCTGTCCAGAAGGTCATCCATTTCCACGGACGTCTCCAGTAAGAGACGTGCCTGCGTGTGTTCCTGAGCATCATCCGGTGCGTATTGCCTCCATGCTGACAGCAAGGGCATTCCCAAGTTCTTTGTCTCGGCAGCTTTGGTCTTCAACCGTGGGAAGTCGCTGTACGGCTTGACGGGATCCGTGAAAAGACTGAGTCTGAGGGAGCAGCTTTTATGCCTCAGTGTAACGTCAGGGAGCTAAGCACATACAGAACCTACATACATATAAGGTTGTCCAGCTGCTTGGCTTCGTTCTTCCAAACATCTTTTGCATCCTCCATGAAGCTTTGGAGGTTGTCCTCTGGCGCGCCAGGCCTAGAGCAGATGTCAGCTTATGGCAGTAGAAACGGCCATAGACTTGCTTCACTATCTTGTCTAGGGACATGTGACGGTAAATCAGCTTGTGGAGGCAGCTGCCATAGGCATACTGGTCCACTCCGAGGAACTTCGTGTGCATTATGTCCGGCAGCAAATTCAAGGAGCTAAGCTTGTTCTTCCCGTGAAAGAGGGCGCCGTGGTTGTGACCTTGAGCTTGGTGCCACTCCTCACCCTTGCGGTAGGTATGTCGACGCCAGGAGGCCGTGTTTCGCCAGTCCATCAGTTCGTCTTTGTGTAGGGGGCACCGAGCACATGGGAAGTTTGCGGTTGCACCCTTGAAGCCCAACCAGGACTGGAAGAATTCCAGGTCACCTGCGATACCAATGAGGCATCCTCTATATCCACCTGCCAGCTCCCTGCCTTGCTCATCCACACCCTCAAACAAAAGATCCAAACTTCCCTTGAGTCGCTGCCAGAAAGCTTCTTTGGTTCTCCCACCGTTGGCTTTGGACACATCGTCGTTCCAGATCATGGTAATCAGTTGATGTGATGTGCGACTGGGGAGTTCTCCTGCACTGTTTTCCGACAGGAGAGACCAGAAGCAAAAGGACTCACGGGCCTGAGAAGGGACATCGCCAGCTCAAGACGTAGGCTGTTTTCTGGCTGGCCTCGGCAAAAAGGAAAACACATGCACAAGGTTGCCTATACATGTGCACCGTGTGCCTTCCCGGCTGCGGTTATCGCAACGCCGTCGCCGTGCAAGATGAGCGGCACGCACACGCGCTTGTAGTTGGGCACCAGGAGAATGTCAGAGTTTGCCAAACCGGGCCATCCTTCCAGCGACGTCCAGAAGCGCTCTAACTCTTCTCCAGACGGCACAAAGAGGCGACGCCAGGCTGCACCATAGTTTCGGTAGATGCTTGCAAAAACATTGTGTGGTGCCATCATGGGGTATCGCAAGTTTGCAAACGTCAGTCTCCGTGGGTTCAGCAGAAGTCGTTTCAGAGGCAGAACTTCCTCTGAACTGCTGGCATACTTGTTATCGCCTAGCTTTCGCTGAAGGTCGCGGTCAATGTTCTGCGGACAAAGGCCATTGTTTCCCAAGCGAGCCAGGACCTTCACTTGCTCCAGCGCGCCTGTTTCGTAATCTTGCAACGCAGCCGCAGCGATGATTTGAATCAAAATGCTCGGTAGGTGACCCCAACTATATCTGCCCAGGAGGACAGCAGCCAGTTTGGAGTCTGCCTGAGCGTTTGAAAGCATTCGTCTACACACACGTATCCGAAATCATAGGGTTTAGGGTTTAATATACGGTTTAGGGTTTAGGGTATTAAGCTTCAAGGATATCCAGTGGCCGAGCTACAGCACCAGTGGTGCTTTCTAAAGCACCACCGGCGTGAGCAGCAGCTCGTTGACGGTAGCCCACCATGGCTACCACTTTCGTTAGAGCCAGACAGTCTCAAGAAGCCCCAAACAACAGCTTATAAATACACAGCAAAGGCAAGAGGCAGCTCTGCCCACGTATGTTTCTTGCTCGCTTCTGTTCGTTTCTCTTCGCAAAGGAACTCAAAACTATGTAGCCTGTCCTCCGGGCGATGAGATGCCGGATGCAGTGAGCACAAACTTTTTTTAAAACTAGGACCGCATGGCCCTGAGAGAGGTCAGGGCCTCGTTTAGTCCCTGAAGGGACTGTTGCGTCTGCCGCAGCAGCTCACCGACGTCCTCCTGTCCTACCGGCTGGCCGTTCACCTTTCCCAGCAGCGTGGCCTCTTGCACTTGGCTGAAGGACTTCTGCACAGCACGCCAATACTCCTGCATGAGGCTATGAATTGAGGCTATCACTTGCGAGTCTTACACCAGCAGACCATCTCTCGCGAGCCTATCCTCTCATGAGCCTAGGGCCTAGGTTCAGGTTCACGTTAGAGTCCTAAATGGAAAGCAGCCTTACGCTCAGGAGCCTCGCTTGACTTTTGACCTTTTTTGGGGTTTAGGATGAAGAGCTGGATGAGCCTATGAATTCGGGCTATCACTTGCGGGTCTTATATCAGCAGACCATCTCTCGCGAGCCTATCCTCTCATGAGCCTAGGTTCAGCTTCAGTTTACACTCCTATATGGAAAGCAGTTAGACTCACGAGCTTACCTTGACTTTTGACATGGTCTTGGGGTTTAGGGTGAAGAGACGCTTTTGGGTTTAAAGAACTTTAGATACTTATCTGGTGCCTTAACACTCATGAGGTTAGACCTATACTCTTTTCACGTCGGACTTAAGCTTTACGGTGAATTACTTACTTCAGGTTTAAGGGTGTCTGAGTTGGAGTGCGTCCTCAAAGCTGCCGAAGAGCTTCTGACCCACGTCCGTGCTGGGCTTTGCTGCGGTCTGCGCAAACTTGCTTGCCTCGGCGAGCATCTTCTTGCACAGCTCCTCCGCCTGCTGGAGCTTCTGCTTCCCGGCTGCGGTCACAGCTGTGAGGACGGAAGGTCGCGTGCGCCCTGGACCGAACGCGTCTGACAGCGGGAGTGGGTTGGGCACGGTACTTGTCCAACTGGGTGCCGCCGCGGCCGCAGGCAGGGGTGGCAGCGTGCTGCTGGGGGCTGCGAGGCTGCCGAAGGGAGCCGGCACTGCCAGAGCCAAGGCGTCCGCAGACTCTAAGGCTATGTCAAAGGCGTCTGCCTGCTGCTGCAGCTGCTGGAAGTCCTTGTCGTCGATCTGCATGCTGCCACTGTTGCCCACTGTGCGCTTCGTGCTGCCTGTGGAGTGGTCAACTGTGATCTCCTTCCATGCGTAGAAGGTCGCGCCATCTTGCTTGATGCGCACGAGCTCCCCGTTGGCCAGGGCTCTCTCGAAGCCGGCCTGACCACCGCACTGGTTCCTTGCCAGTGTCTCGGGCATACCCTTGAGTCGCTTGCGGCCCACTGTCTCTTCCTTATAGCGCAGAAATTGAATCTATTCGCAGAAGAACACAACCAACAATATGCATCTAATCGACCGTCTCAGGCCGATGCGTAGCTCACAAGCTCCTGCCTCAAGCTGGGGACTGCCACGGCGAGGTCCGCGGGGCTCTGCACCACGAGCTCGAGCTTGCCCTTCTTGTTCTTCCTCACCGTCTTGTTCACCAGCTCGGTTCGCTGCGACCTCTTGAGGTTCTTGTCGAAGACGTCACGGAACCAGTCAGGAAGGCCGTTGGCTTCGCGGAGGCTTTGCAGGTAGCGCGTCTTGGACCTGTCTCGGGTTTCCTCAGGGTTGACCTCCGGGTCCTCAACCGGCTCGTCTTCTTCCTCCCCCTCTGCCGGCTCCTCTTTCTCGGTGCTTAGCAAATCTTGGATTTGCTCCTTCTTGCTCGCTTTCCTGAAGCAAGAAGGAAGGCATTGAGTTTAACAACAGCAAGAACAACAGCAACAACTGACGCAAACGCACACACACACACACATTGTTGCCAAGGGCCAGACTTGGCCGCAGGTTTCCTCAGCACTTCCTTCTTTACGTTTTTTTCTTTGGTTCGGGCTTTGTCTTGCTCTTGGCCTTTGCCCTGGCCTTGCTCTTGCTCTTAGCCTTGGGTGCCGAGCTGGCCTTGGTTTTCTCGGCCTCGGTCTTTGTTTCCTCCTCGCCAGGTGGGGCTTCCGAGTCCAGGAGGGGGCCCTCCTCGGTCCGGGCGGCTCCAGAGTCTTCTGCCCTGGCGTCGCCGTCAAGGTTCTGCAGGTCGCCACCAGCAGCCGGGCGCTTCATTCCTGGCGGGCAAGCAGAATACGCATTCCAGCATGATAGACAGTTAACAGCAACAAGCAGGCCTGCTCTCAGGACGCGGTCGGACAGGCGGGCTACGTTCTTTTTGTCAAAGGCTTCCTGCGTAGACGGCGACAAGAAACATTCCAAGAGCACTTGCTGACGCAAGCGACAACACGCAAAGCCACTTTAGCGGCAGTTTGCCGGCAAAGCGGCTTGGTGCACAAGCCAGTTTGGCGGCAATTTGTCGGCAAAGCGGCTCAGCAGAAGCCAGTTTGGCTGCAGTTTGTCGGCAAAGCGGCTTAGCAGAAGCCGCTTTAACTAAAAGCGGCTTGGGCCAAGCCAGTTTGCATTCAAACCGGCTTCATAAGCAAGCCAGTTTGCCGGCAAACTGCCTGCAAACTGTCTTCGGACTTTTTTGCCAACTCCAGCATGGCCTCTAATTTTTCATAGGCAACGCGTGAAAAATCACGCGCGAGGTCATCGAGACAAAACGAATTATGAGCGCGGGCTTGCAGACTCAGTCACTGAACGGTAGTCCTCGTTCAGCACAAGGGCAGACTTGCGAGGCTTCGCTGGCGTAGACGGCCAGTAGGCTGTGGACTCCTTCACGTCTCTGGGAGGGCCTTCCTCTGCCAGACTTGCTCGGTCCAAGTCCACCCGCTCTTCCAGCAGCTTGTCCTCTGTCGGCACCGCAGGCTCGGCCTTGCGCGAGCAGCTCTGCAAAGCCTGGAGGCTTTCTGTCGACGCCGGGGCTGCCTCCTTGGACTTTTCAGGGCTAGGCGTGGAGTTGAGCTCTTCGACTTCGGACTGGTCTTTCTTGCCGAAGAGAACGGACAAGGTTCTGTGCAGACCGATCTCGCCCTGAGTCGTCCACAGCCTGACAGCACCAGAGACGTCACCAGAGCCGTGCTTGAGACCGCGCATGCTGTGCTGCGCAGAGCTTGGGAGCAGGGCTTGAGCCACAAAGTCTAGACACGCGTCGTTGTCGTGGAGAAAAACCATCCAAACATGCAGGTTTAGACCTCAGGCAAGGTTTTTGGGTTTAGGGCTGAGGCTTTAGAGTTTAAGCTGTACGGTTTTGGGCTAAGGCAAGGCCGCGGCCTTTGGGTATGGACACAACACGGCCATTGACAGAATCGGTCTCGCGATGTTTTTTGCCGAGCGCAAGCTGTTCGGCCGCCGTCTAGATGACCGTGCTTCCTGGCAGCGACGAGATGACAGCAAGAGAGTTGAGGGCCAAAGGTCTGGAGGCTGTCCTGCCCGCAGCTCCTTCACCTCAGCGACGCGTCTTCTTCGTCCTGGGAGCGGAGATGAGAGCAGGAGAGTTCAGGGCAAAAGGTCTGGATGCTGTCCTGCCCGCAGCTCCTTCACCTGAGCCACGAGTCTTCTTCGTCCTGGGAGCGGAGCTGAGAGCAGAAAAGTTCAGGGCAAAAGGTCTGGATGCTGTCCTGCCCGCAGCTCCTTCACCTGAGCGACGAGTCTTCTTCGTCCTGGGAGCGGAGATGAGAGCAGGAGAGTTCAGGGCAAAAGGTCTGGACGCTGTAATGTCCGCAGTTCCTGCAGCTCGGCGACGAGTCTGCTTCGTCCTCGGAGCGGAGATGAGAGCAGAAAAGTTCAGGGCAAAAGGTCTGGATGCTGTCCTGTCCGCAGTTCCTGCAGCTCGGCGACGAGTCTTCTTCGTCCTCGGAGCGGAGATGAGAGCAGAAAAGTTCAGGGCAAAAGGTCTGGATGCTGTCCTGTCCGCAGTTCCTGCAGCTCGGCGACGAGTCTTCTTCGTCCTCGGAGCAGAGATGAGAGCAGGAGAGTTCAGGGCAAAAGGTCTGGATGCTGTCCTCTCCGCAGCTGAGCGAGGGCTTTTCTTCGTCCTCTGAGCTGTCTTTGCGCCGCCCTGCGTCAAGCAAGCGCTTACATGCATGGCCTGGACTTACCTCTCTTCCCGACCATATGGTCTCTCGTGAGTTCTAGACACACTAGAGGCCTGGGTTCAACGCTTAAGGGCCTGTCCTCTCTTGAGCTTATCTTCAATCGTAAGGCCCCCTAACAATCCATGAGCCTATCTTTACTCGCTAGACCCTATCCTCTCATCAGGCAATTTTCAGACATGAGGCCCTATCCTCTCAGGAGGCTATCTTGAGTCAATAAACCCGATCCTCTCATGAGCCTAGGTTCAGTCGCCAGGCCCTATCCTCTCAGGAGGCTATCTTGAGTCACTAGACCCTATCCTTCTCATGAGGCTGTGCAGTCGCTAAGGCCTATGCTCTCATGACATTCCTTTCCGTCCCTAGGCCCCATCCTCTCATGAGCCTATTTTGATTAAGCCTCGCGGGGGCCGAGCCCATCAGTCCTGAGACCTAGAGATTTCTAAAGAGAAGGGCCTTCCTCTCTTGAGCCTATGTTGACACGCAAGGGCCTATATCCTCTCATGAGCCTATCGTTGGCCTATCCTCTCATGAGCCTATCGTCGCCTCACTAGACCCTATCCTCTCATGAGGCAATCTTCAGACACGAGGCCCTATCCTCTCGTGAGCCTACGTTCACTCGCGAGGCCCTCTCCTCTCACGAGTTCAGGAGGCTATCTTGGGTTACGTCGATGCTCTCAAGATTTTTTTCCGGTCCCTATGCCCTATCCTCTCATGAGCCTAGTTTGATTCAGCCTATCTTGCCTCACTAGTGCCTATCCTCTTCTGGTATACACATGCCAACTCCGCGTGTCGGATTGCAACCACACTTTCATTTGTCATGCACCCCCGAAGCCCTGAGTTGGGTGTCGCTGCCTTGTCGTGGCTTGGAGAGTGCCTTGCTTCGTGCGGCTTCCAGTCCTGAGGCAGCAGATCGGAGGCCAAAGTTTACATGGTCTTTTGGTGTGTGACAGTTCCTGGCCTCGAGCTCTGTTAGGCCATTTCGGAGCTGGCGAGGCTGCAACGGCGCTGCTTTTGTTACGAAGCATCTCCGGCTCCGGCGGAGGACCTGGTAGTTTTGAGAGGCAGCTTGAACGAGGCGCTGCAGTGGCCCGCGGAGGGACGACAGTGCCGCGAGGGGCAAGCGGAGGCCGTCCTCTCAAGGCTGGACTCGTTGCAAGACCTGCGACCTGGGGCTAATGCAGAAGCTTATGTGGGAGTGTACATTTTCTCATGAGACACGGTACTCCTCGCAGAACCTAGTCTCTACGTCACTCTTGAGATCCAGAACTCTCGTGACTTACTCTCCTGAAGACACAGCACTCTTGAGATTGAACTCTCGTGACTTACTCTCCTGTGGAACACAGCACTCTCGAGATCCAGAACTCTCGTGACATGCTCTCGTGTGACAGAGCACTCGTGACAGACTAGAGTCTCTTCAACTAGACTCTCCTGAGATAAACAATCTTACACAACTTATAACAACAGCTCTGAAAGAAGACTTTACTCTCACGACCAGTCGTCCTGTCGCAACAGCTGGCGGAAGCACAGTTGCGGGGGTGGGCTGCCCACTCTCATGCGCTCGAGCATCCCAGCCCAGAGCCCTGAGGAAGGTCACGGCGCCATCCCGCCGCTCTCTGCTGGCAAAGAGGAGGAAGCCGGCAGAACTGTGCTGCGAGCCCCGGTGTCGAACCGAAGCGTCCAGCAAGCCCAACAAGGAGGGCAACTGGGCAAGCAAGGAGTTCTTGGGAAGTGTCGGTGCCAGGTTGCCCAGCCATACAACACGCGCAGGCTCCCAAGCCATGGCGGCCATGCCGTGTGAACCTGCGCATGCATGTTTGAGCCAAAGACAAGGGACACAAACAAAAGCGAGTGGCGGCGAAAGAAGGAAGCCAAACAAGGGCTGCGCGCAAAGTAAAGACTTTAGTGTTTCTTATAAGCCCTGCATGCTCCTTGCATGGTCTGTCTGCGATCACCACCCCTGTCGGTGGCAGCTACGACAGGAGTGGTTGATATGATTATCAACCGGCACTCTCAGCCGACGCCCGCATAGACGGTCGCATGCTGGATTTGCGCAGCGACACTGACAGCGGCCGCCGGTTCTCTGAAACTCCAGGTCGTTGAGCAGCCGTAGAAGCCGTCTTTGTAGCGCAACACTGAGTCGTGCAAGAAAGCTTGTCAGGTCGTCGTCGGAAGCAGAGCTGTCGAAGACCACCCGCACGGCTGGCTCCATTGCGGCCAGACACGACGCTGAGAGTGCAAGGCGGAAGCCGAAAGGAAACTACGTGCAAGAGGAGGCGCAGGCAGACATATTTATGAAGCATGCAGAACTCAAGGCCAGTTAAAACAGCGTGAAGATGCAATGATTGCAAGGAAGAGCTGCAGATGTGGAGCTGTTTTTCCTCCATGCACATCGTGCAAGTCACGTCCGAACCAAAGAGCTCGGCGAGTCAATTCGGATCATGGCGGCGTCGAATCGCCTGGCAATGAGCTCAACCGGAAGTGCAGCGGATGCAAGCCACAACTCTTCTGACAAGAAGCCGCCTCCTTCAGCGGGCAGTCGAGGGGCTCTTGTCCCACTCCTGCAAAGCCTTTCGGTGTGCCAACCTTGCCAGTATGTAGCTCCGCTCCGTGGACTTTCCATCAGCAATCGCAGACCTCTTCGCCTGCAAGCGTCAGAAATTCTGTTAATGCGGACAAATGCTGCAAAAGGCTGTCCGACCTCGTGGTAGTGGCGGGACGCAAAGTTCTTCCTCAAACGTTGTTCCTCCTGCTTGACCTTCAAGGTCTGAGACTTCGCTTTGCCTTTCTTGGACTTGGCCACACCGGAGGGCTTCTTCCCTGTTTTTTCTTTGGCCTTGGATTCGCTGGCAGTCTTTGCCTTAGCTTTTCCCGCTGGCTTCCCGGGAGCTGCAGCTTTCGCCGCTTCCTTGCTTACAGGTTTTTTGTGCTTCTTCAACAGCCGCTTCTCCGAAGCAGAGGCAGGCACAACTAGCAACGCGGACTCCAGCGCTTCGCGGTCTCTTCTCGAAACAACCGAGTCCTTGCTTGTCTCCTGAGGTGAGGCAACAACTCCAAAGAGCTCGTCAGCAGAGAAGAACCTCTGCAACTTTCTGCTGCCAGAAAAAGAAGAGGAGCTCTGCTGTGGAGCGTGCAAGCTCTGCTGCGGAGCTTGCGGCTCGAAGAGCACTAGGGCCTGGAGAGCTGGAAGTGCCTCCGCCTCCTCCGGTTCAAGCACAAGTTCAGGCAAAGCTTGGCGCTCAACTGTCGGTGCTGCCTGCTGCGTGGCGGCCTGCTTGCTTCGGTCGCTCAAGTTACGACTTGTCACAGCTAAGAGGCGGTTCAGTGCCGCAAGTTCTTCTACAGTACAGCGTCTGGAAACGCTCGCGTAGTACGTCCCATCCACTGCAAGCTCTCGAAACTTGGACAGCTGCACGCGGCAAGTGGACATGGCTCGGTCCACAAGAACGGAGAGCGGAGTGGTGGCCAAGTACTTGTCGGAAGCAAGTGCCTGCTTGCTGTGACAGGCTTCCAGCGCAGCCCTTCCTTTCACTGTTGGCAGCATGGCATCTGGCAAAACTTCCAGAAGCCCTGCCCAGAAAGTTTCGTGCTGGCTCCACAGTGGGACCACTGCAGTCGCGCTGGTCTTGAAGGTGGACTTTGCGTAGCTCTGCAAAAAGCCAGGCAAGTCGTGCTCAACACTTTGCAAGCTGGCTTGGAAAGCCTTCTGAAGGTCTGCAACCGACAGCAAAGGCGAACAACTCACACGTGAACGTTTCTGAGCCGCCTGCAGCATCCTGCAAACAACGAAGCTGACTGCAGATGCTGTGGATGCCTCTTCTATACAAAAACTGTCGAGGCGCACACGCAACACCTGTGAAGTCTTGAGCCCGAAAACTTGCAAAGTCAAAATCATGCTGCGCTCGACATGCAAACTTCCTGTGTGCTGCATAGCTATAGGATGTGACATGCGCAGCATTCCAGCCACCAGCCTGGGGCCACTTTGGGAGCACTTTGCCGCCAAAGCGCTCCCGGACATGATTTTTAACTATTTGCTAACACCTGTGTATTTTAACTATATAGTTTAATTATAACTATAACTATTTCAAGTAATTAGTCTGTTTTTAACTATATCTACTCTTTTTAACTTAACGGAGCCACTGGGTAAGGTACAGTTCAGGGCTTGGGTGCTGACCAAAACGCTACTTCACACGCTACTTCACATTCTAACGGCAAACACGTAGCACCACTCTCAACAGGTGAAGCACTGCAGCCACGATGATCCCATGGCTGCGGAGTGCGGGTCCTGGCTTTTCTACGAAGGTCATCCAAAATTTACCTAGACCCTTAAATGTAACTAGTATCTTTCTTTGGATGACCTGCTTTATCCCTAAACCCTAAGCCCTAAACCCTAAACCCCTAAGCCCCAAAGCCCAAAGCCCTCGGACCTCGGGCTGTCGGGCTTAGTGTCGAATGCCCTCGGTCAGTCTGTAAGCGATTCGCACATTCGCTCAATGTGCCCTTGTTTAGTGTATACTCATAGGCCTTGGAGGGGTTCCTATATGGGTCGGGTTTAGGGTTTATAGGGTCTATTATAGGCACATGGAGCCTCAGGCCATTCTAAGAACCACAGAAACAGCAACAGCGTGGCTCCCAGAGCTGTGCGGGGGGTTGCGTGCCTGCTGCACAGACTTGCATCGCAAAGGTACTGTGAGTGCGGAATGTGATGTGGCTTACTTGTATGGATTCAACCTTCGACGGAAAACCTTCCGCCCCGAACTTGGCAAATCTGAGCCCTTGTACTCGCTTATTTCGAGGGTGGGAAAACCTTGGCTTCAAGTCTTTATCAGATGTGGCAACATTTAAACCCTAAACCCTAAACATTTAAAGACCAAAGAGTCTGCAGTCGAATTCAGGAGGGCTCCATCATCACTCGGGCGGAGGGGCTTTGTGTAATTTGCTCTCGGGCGGGGTGACTTACGCCCATAGTGTTGGGCCAAAGAAGATAGGAATATTGTGATGCATTCTTTGCGAGTTCGATTTTTGTTTTGGTGTTCCTTATTATATTTATAGTGTAATGTACCCCAAAACCGCCCAACACCCTATTCTACTCACTAAGGCGTCTGAAATTCGGCCCTAAACCCTGTGAAGGTGTGGCTCTGCCAGCACGGCCGGGCTCAGCCTTGGCGCCCCCACGGAGCGCAGCCGCAGTGCAGTGCTTTCGCACAGAGAGGGTATAGGATTAGGGGTTAAGGGTTGCCTGACGTTTCGAACGCTTAGGAGAGAGAGAGCGAGAGAGAGGGAGAGAGAGAGAGAGAGAGCGAGAGAGCGGGCTTAGGACTTGCAGGGTTTAGGATTTGTCGTGTTTATAAGGTTCGGGTTTGGGCTGCGGGTGCAGCATGACCTTTGGCCAGGACGATCTTTTGCCAATTTCCGAGAGTCAGGATCATTGAAATGTTGTGCTAATCGTTGTTTATGGCATTGTCTAGTGTGGTACATGCATTCGTCGTGCGTAGCCAAATGACACTTGTAAGGGCGTTTGAACCTTAAACCCTTTTCGGGTTCATTTCGTCTTTAAGGTGCTTTTCAGGGTACGAAGGAGTTGATTTTGTCGTGGCCCATGGCAGAACTCTGTGGCACTTCTGCTCGAGCGGGGGCTAGGGTGCGGGAAGCTTGGCACATGGTCGGGTCGAGTGTTATGGGCATGAGGCCTCAGTGATTCGAGGGGTTTAGGGTTTTGTATTTAGGGTTTATCATTTAAGGTTTATGGTTTAGGGTTTAGTCGGTTTAGTATTTAGTTTTGAGGGTTTAGGGTTTGTGGTGCAACTTTCGACAAGTCTGCAGGAGGCATGGGAAAGAGCGACCCGTCGACATGAGCTTCTCCGCTGGCATGCCCATAGACAATCCACCCATCCCGCACTAGGACTTGCTATGTTTCCATTAATTACTTACGTATATCCCAATCCCAGGCTTTCATGAAGCGCCCGTCATTGGGGCAGCCGGGCCCTCAATAGCCCAACTCCACATAGCATTGACTCAACTGAAAGTAGTTGTGCTGTCCCGGCACACGAACTCGAACAAGGCTAGCACTGGGCCGCAGAAGATCGGTGCCTTTGGCAGCTAGAGCGCATGAGTAACATATAGACGCAGCTTCCCATGTCCCCCTCGTAGACGCCATGCGAGATCGGCGCCGAGACAGGACGGACTGGGTTTGCAATTCGCTGAAGCTAAAGAGCCGACATTGTTATGTTGTATAGCAACATCCTTTACTACACTAAACTGTATCCTATATACTCTACTATATATTTTATACTATGTACTATATACTTTCCATCCTTCTTTAAACTATATACAGTTGTTATAAACGATACTACCTATTTACTGTAACTGCAGCATCCGAAGCCCTAAACCCTAGACCCATATAAAGTTCAGCCGGGGGCCCGAATGAGCCTGGCGCCATGTCCTCAGACGGCAGGTCCCTCCTGTGGAGCCTTAGGGACATGAGGGCGCTTAGGGTTTAGGGTTTGGGGTTTAGGGTTTAAGGTTTAGGGTTTAGGGTTTAAGGTTTCGGGTTTAAGGTTTAGGGTTTAGGGTTTAAGGTTTAGGGTTTAGCGATCGGTGTTTAAGGTTGGGTCTGTTTCTCGCTATTTGTCCCTGTGAGGCCCGGGTCCAAGCATCCTGCATCTAGCCCCCCGTCAGAACCTGAAAGCCCTAAACCCTAAGCCCATCTGAACCCTGAGCCCTGCAACAAAACGCCTTAGACCTTAAACCCTAAACCCTCTTAGGGGACTCGTTCTCACCAAAGTGTGCCACTACACTTAAACAAAAATCCCTAAGCCCTAAACCCCAAGCCCACAAAGCCTCAGACCCTAATCAAACCCCTTAAAACCCTAAACCCTAAATCGTCTGTAAGCCTTCACAGCTCCAAGGCCATGAGCCCCTCAGCCATTTGAGTCCGAGACTCCTAGGAACCTCCCAGAGAGCCCCCCCTCCCCCCAAGGGTTTAGGGTTTAGAGTTTAGGGGGCCCCTTAATTTAGGCAAGATCTACCTTCAATTATAGGGGCCTTAATAGTATGAGTTCAGGTATAGTCTGTAGAATTTATACACCTGCCCCCCCTCCCTTCTAGTTTCCGGGTATTCCCGAATTGAGCGGTATTGAAAAATCTTGGGCCCTCCACTTTATAAGCCACGCCTGTGACCGAAAAGACCTACCTTTTTAGGGAACTCTATATATAGAAGCCATAAATAAGGAACCCCAAAAAGGTAGGTCTTTTCGGTTACAGGCATACTTCATTCCTTCAGAGCTTCGGACGCTCGAAGTCGCAAATGCAAGGAGCCGGAGTCCCGCCGTCAGGGAAACGGCGAGCGACCTGACAAGAAGCCATAGGGTTTGGAGGTTTAGGGCGTTGGTGGTTTAGGGCTTTTGGGTGTAGTGTTTCGGGTTTCAGGGGGTCTGGGGGATTCAGGGGCTTTGGGTTTAGTGTTTCGAGGTTTGGGGTGTTGGGGTGTTGAGGTTTTAGGGTTCCAAGCGTTGGTGCTTCCTGTGACAAACGGCTCGCTTCCTCCTTGGAAACAGCGCGTGGGGATGGGTTTGAGGTTTAGGGTTCGAGGTTTAGGCTTTAGGGTTTAGTGTTCAGGATTTGGGGTTCCTCCTTGAAAACAGTGTATGGTGGTATGGAAAACTTAATCAAAGGTTTGAGGTTCAGGGTTCGAGGCTTAAGGTTTAGGGTTTCGGGTTTGGGGGCATACAGGCTTTGGGTAGTTACTTGGGCTGGACGACTGGAGGGCCGGGATGAGCCTCGCTCATATCTTCTACCAGACGTCCTAGCACCACTGAGCCGGTCGCTTACTTGGGTTCAGAGTTGAGGGTTTAGGGTTTAGGGTTCGGGTGAAGCTTGTTGTCGTTGCATCTTGTGCTCAAGAGTGCAGCGTGAACTGAAAGCCAGTCAGCTTTCTCTGTCTGGAGACTGCCCCGTAGCAAGGTATGAAGCACATCATGGCCATAGTATTGTCGTTGTGCGCCTGCTGCTCCAGCCAAGCAATACCAGGCAACATTGCCAAGCATCTCCTGGCCAACCGTTTCATTGATATGCAATCCACTGAGCGTGAGAAGTGCTACGCGCGCTGCATTTGGAATGATGGCCGTTCTTGCAACAGTGCCTGCGAAAGGAGATGCAGCAACAAATGTCAGCAGCAGGAGCTTTGAGGCCTGGTGCACGCAGAGTGTTCATGCGACAGACCGTTATGGCCCAATTATGGGGTCTGGGTTGTTGAAAAGGCATCCTGCAGTCTCTTACGCCGCAAGGCTGGAGCGCATGAACAGGGCGGCGTGCGTTGTTGTCATGTGAGATGGCATGCGCGCCAGCCGGCAAGTGTTCCTGCCAGTGCTGCCTGATCCCGGGATGCAGTGTGTAATGTGGAAAAAAGGTCGCTGGTGTCCGTGGTTGTTTATGAAAGTTTCGCGCAGTTGAGTTCGGCCTATGCCAGTAACATCAAGGTTTATCTTCAGGTCCGCAAACAGGGGACCGACAGGAGACGATAAGCTTGTTTTGGGGGCATGTCTTGTCAAGCTTATGTTTCTTCCACTGGTCATTTGCACAAAACAGGGACGAGGGCTTAAGGCTTCGGTTTTGGGGGCTTACCTTTTCGGGGGGTCTACGTGGCTTACACTGGACCTATTCAAAGTCATGTCTGAGTGCAGCAGACGTTTCAGGGGTTCAGGGTTTCGAAAGCTGGGTGTGCAGGTGTGTATTGAAGGCTTTGGGTAAAGCTCATATAGTCTACTCAAGTTCCCTCGTTACGAGTGATCTTGATGTTCACAGGGTGCAGGCGCAGCCTGACCAAGCCACAAAGCCACCGATCTACAGTGAAAGTCGGGCTCCGGGCTCTCGAAAACCCCTTCCAGGCTTTGGTAG